AATAAGCTGGGCGCCGCCATTTTTAAATCCCGGCTAGTTCGAACCCCGTGCCGCGCGGCTACACGCGGCACAGAGTAGCTAGTTCGGATTAGGATTCTAATCCGAACTAGCTGTACTCCTCGTGGAATGAGGAGTACAGCTCGTTCGGTTTAGGAAGCCTAATCCAAACTAGCTACCCCGTGCCGCGTATAGCCGCGCGGCACGGGGTTCGAACTAGCCGGGATTTAAAAACACAGCACCCAGCTTATGCAAATGAAGCCCGGGAAATTCAAATCCCGGGCTTCATTAGCAAGTGCGGTATGCCTACATTACCCCGCTAGTTCGAACTAGCGGGGTAGTGTAGACATACCCTGAGGGATGTAAAAAAGCCACATTCCTGGGAGATGCAGCTATTCCAACCTAACACCTTTCCCCTCCCCAGCGTATATAGCACTAGGTCAATGGAAGAACTCATCAGTAATACATTACCCCGCTAGTTCGAACTAGCGGGGTAGTGTAGACATACCCTGAGGGATGTAAAAAAGCCACATTCCTGGGAGATGCAGCTATTCCAACCTAACACCTTTCCCCTCCCCAGCGTATATAGCACTAGGTCAATGGAAGAACTCATCAGTATACCTAGTTACCACTTCCTGGGAAGGGGGATTATCTATAGCAATGGAAAAACCCTTCCCACTGCTGTAGCAAGTGTCTACACAGAAGTACTCCTGCACAACTAGTATGCATTTTTAAGTGTAGACATATAAAAGCAGGCCCACCAACAGGAGGGGGGGCCAAAGGGGACAGCTACCCCAGGACCCAGCAATTTAAAAGGTCCCGGGGCTCCCAGCCGCTGTCACTGCTAGAGTGGCAATGGCAGCAGCTGGAGTGCCAAGTCCCTTAAATTGCTGCCAGAGCTCCGGGAGGCATGGGCCAGGTGGGAGGTTTGCCCTTAGCCCTGCCCCCTCCACCAAGGCCCTGCCCATTCCGGGCCCCACCTAGCTGAGGACCCAGTGAAGTCGGTCGGCCACCCTGTAGGCCACGACTACCCTAACAAGTTAGGTTGCGATGACTACGTTGTGAGAAATCCACACCCATGACCGACACAGTTAAGCTGACCTAACCTCTAGTGTAAACAGTGCTAGGCTGAGATGACAATTCTCTGACTGACCCATCTACCCCTTCTCTGGATGGGAGACTGCTGACAGGAGGGGCAAAGAGAGCAGCTGCCCCGGGGCCTGGTGATTTAAAAAGGCCTGGGGGCTCCTGAATGTTGCCACTGTTGCTACCTCAGTTGTGGCAGTGGCTGGAGGCCCAGGCTCTTTAAATGACTCATGGTGCCCCGGCAGCATGTGCCCTTCAGCTCCAGTAGCATTGAAGGGCTGGCTGAGGGAGATCAGCCCCTAGTGCAGCCTCTTCTGCCTGAGACCCCACCCCAGTCTCCCCTAGTGTCAACGCTGAATTGCTATAGCAGCAATTGTAAATAACTGAAACCAGATTGCCTCTGAGTCTCAGTCCAGGGCCATGGCCTCGAAACTATTTCTTTGTGTGGTTCCAGGAGAACCTCCTTGGCAAGAAATGGTTGCAAAAGTCTAAAGTAATGTGCACGAACATTTTTATTTGCAGGACTCTTACAATTCAGCACATCAGCCATCGGGCCCTGGTGCTTTACCGTTTCACAGGCCTTTTCTATTCTATTTTCACAGCCGAATGTGATGATTCAGACGCCAACTGAGAGGTAACCGTTGACAAATGCTATAATGATGACCAGAATCACCAAACGGTGAGGGATGCACAAGGTACGGAACCCATAATGATCTGTGTTTGCCATCCACTACCCGCTATCAGCTAGGTCGTGAGATGCCTACCTGGTGCTTCCAGTGGTGGAGAAGCAGGTTGAAGGAACACTGACCTTCTAATGGTGCTAACTTGTGACTCTGGGTAGCTTATTGGTAGCTACTGACTTGCTAGCAGGACCTCCGGAGACATGGCATAACCCAGTAACTATCAAGTTAAGTTACTAGTCCTTCTGGCAACTATTTCCTCAAGCCTCACACTAGCCAAATTTCTAAGAAACATCAGCTAGGTCATTTAACCCATTTCTTGGCTTTGTGGCAGGCCTGATTTCATCATTCTTTAACAGATGGCTGTCTAGCATTGAATATCTGGTCTGATGCTGATTCACATCCTCCCTTGGCTGCTAGCTCCATTGCCTAATTTTTCTTATGAAGTTTTCCCTTCATATTTAATTTAATTTCCCCCTGCTGTCTTGGAAACTCACTTCTTATTCTGCCCCTAACAAGAGGGAATAATTGATTCCTGTCTCCTTTATAACATCTGTAACCATTCCCAGTTAATTGCCATCTCAGTTTTTCCCCAGATGCAGACACACGGTTCTTTTAGGTTTCAGCTCATAAACCTTATTTTCCAAGGCTTCTATTCTTGTCATTCTCCACTGAACTCTCTCCAGCCTGTCTGTCTTTTTTAAAGGCACAATGACATTTTTAAAAAAGCATCACAGATAATAATAGGCTGTAAGGTCCCCAGAGAAGAAGAAAGCATAAAGCTATTTGTCTAGGAAGAAGTACAGCAGAAAGGGATCTAGGCGTTATAGTGGACCACAAGCTGAATATGAATCAGCAGTGTGATGCTGTTGCAAAAAAAGCAAACATGATTCTGGGATGTATTAACAGATGTGTTGTGAGCAAGACACGAGAAGTCATTCTTCCACTCTACTCTGCGCTGGTTAGGCCTTAGTTGGAGTATTGTGTCCAGTTCTGGGCACCGCATTTCAAGAAG